GGTGTGTAGCTATAAGTATATTTATAGATGTTTATGTGACTGAGTACAGGATTAGTGAATTTGCTGGATAATAATACTTGCTGCTGTTTATTGAGCTCTTACCATGGGCCAAGTTAGAATTACAGGGTAAAAGTTATTTGATGCAGATTTGAATGTGATTTACTAATATTTTATAATATCAGTTATGGTGTACCCCACTAAAGTAATGTTTAACAGCTAACTTTGGTATGGCATATCATAGTTTACAAGCATTTCACCTACATTACCAGTTAATCCACCCAAGAATCATATGCTTATTGTTTTATCAATCATATGAATTGGTGTGTGGTAACCCCATCTTATATAGTAAAAGGCCGAAGCCTGTATATATGACTTGCTCAGGGTTATTCACTGAATGGCAGAGTTGGGACTTAAACTCAGATCCCCAATCAAGAGTTTATCAATAGCTGTGTGCTAGCTGGTTTGCCCTTATCCTAAATCCACTGTTCACAGCCAAGGGTCTTTTGCATTATATCTTTTTCAGTTATGAGGTGATGTGTATTATAAACCATTTGTTACTACTAATTAAAATGCCACTGTGAATTATTTAAAAAATTTGTATTGGGGGGCTGACAGGTTAACTCAGTTGGTTAGAGTGTAGTGCTGATAACACCAAGGTCAAGGGTTCAGATCCCTAAAGGGGCCAGCCGCCAAAAAAAAAAAAATTGGGTTCAAGATTATTCCTATACAAATGTGAATTCCAAAAGGATAGGGACTTTGTCTTATTTTTCCACACCTCTTTCCCCAGTGCCTAGGATAGTGTCTGCAAGTAGTAGGTGTTGAATAATTATTTGTTGAGTGAGTAAAGCAAAGGATTTTATTTACTGTTGTATTCTCATACCATCTTGAGTGGGGGAAAAAAGGGGAATTGGGCTTAATCTGCTGTCTAATCTCTGCCATTGTAGTAAGTGCTGTATAGGTATTTTGGTAATAATCATGATGGCTTTGAATTATCTTTTGAAATTGGGGGATTTAAAAAAATGGATTTGTTCATGGAGTGTGAATGTGTATATGAATCTCAGTTATCACTTGTGTAAATATGTTTGAGATCCAAATGGTTGCAGACTGCTGTATTTCTCATCTCTCTCTTTGCTGTTAAATTGATGGTGGTGGTTTCTCAGTATTATCATGTCTGACTCTAGCAGCTCCTTTTCTATTCTATCTTATTTTTGCTTTGGGCTGTAAAACTAGATATCCAAACTTAATAATAGTTTGGTAAAAATGGGCTTGGATTGAGGGCAGACCCCATTGGTAAAAGGCATGGACTGTGTTAGGTGGTCTTAGACATATTTCTGGGCTGCTTAGAGGCCTTTTTCAGTTCCTATTCATGCCAGTCTTTTGAATAGGTAAGGTTATGGAACTTGTGATCATCCAGACATTTAGAACTGGGTTCTAGTCTGGAAAGTTGTTAGTATGGTATACTATTTATAAAAAGAACCTGAGCTATTAAAATACTAGAGAACAAATTAGAGCTCGTGATTTTATTTCTGAAATCATTTAGACAGTGAGCAGCAACTATTTATTGCCTGTTAAGCCATAGTAGTAGTGAGAAACTGATATGAGCAAAAACACTTTCTGCTGTAAAAATGCAAAAAGCATCTCAAGGAATTCTGTTTGTTACTGACTACCATTTAAAACGGAAGGGGAACCTCTAGATGAATCAGATCTGAGAGTTTGAGAATTAAACTCATTCTGTCACCTAAAATCCAGTTCTAAAAATGATTAATGATTTGGATTTACTTGAGATAATGTGCTTTTTCTCGTATTTTGCAGTTTAATATAACACTATGCATAAAGTGCCTTTTGGTAAATTTTTGCATGTAATTGTGTTTGCATCGTCAAGCACAGGATAAGGACATTTATGAATAAAATATTTAGCTAGTAGTTATAGGAGGAATAAAAAGACCCACAGGTTTGAAAGTCAAGCTTGTGTGATGGGATGGTATATAATGTCGTTTTATTTTTTATTTTTTATTATAAAAATTTAATACATGTGGGATACAACGTACATGTGGGATACAACGTTGACTTTCAATAATTGTGTAGAACATGTGGGTTAGATCAGTATAGTTAGCTTATTTATCATTACAATATGCAATCATTCTTTGTGTCCGTTGACCAATTCCTCATTAGCCCCCCCTCTTTCCCCCTCCCCTCCTCCCCTTTTCCACCTCTAGTTTTCTAAAAGTTCAAGGTATTACTGTGATTGTTGTTTCTTTCTTTCTTTCTTTCTTTCTCTCTGTCTCTCTTTATTGTTCATTTGTTTATTTATGGGTTCAGCTTCCAGTTATGGGTGAGAACATGCAGTATTTCTCTTTCTGTATCTGGGTTATTTCACTTAGGATAATTTTCTCCAAGCTCATCCATGTTCTTGCAAATGGTAGAATTTCATTCTTTTTTATGAAAAAAAAAATAATTATGAGGTATTCACAGCTCTCTCATCAGGAAATAATTGAGACTGAGAAAGGAAAGTTCTACAATCTCTTATGCGTGTGTCTCTATGAAGTACTCTACCCAGTTTCCAGGCAATTGTGTCTTTTGTAGACTCTACAGTGTGCCGTTTCAAGCCATGACATCATGCTTTTAGAAACTTCCCTACTTNTATTTATAGATGTTTATGTGACTGAGTACAGGATTAGTGAATTTGCTGGATAATAATACTTGCTGCTGTTTATTGAGCTCTTACCATGGGCCAAGTTAGAATTACAGGGTAAAAGTTATTTGATGCAGAAAAGTAATCTAAAAGGTCAGGTTGAATTTATCTAATAATACAAAAGCTACAGTTCATTGAGCTCTTCTTTGTACCAAGGATTGAAGTAGACTTTATGTTGTATTTTTAATGCTCACAAACATCTTTGCAGAGTAAGGTTCATAATAGCTGAGGATATTGAGGCCCTTCTGAGAGGCCAAATAACTGGTGCAGGGTCCTGAGCTACTAAGTATTATCATTGGAGCTCAGTATTTCGTCTGGCCCCAAAGCCAGTGCTCTCTCCACTGAACCACACTTCATCTGTAATTATACTTAGGGTTTTTTTTGTTTAGGATAATTGGTTCTGTCTGTCACCAGTGGCGCCCTCTTCTCCCTGCTTAGTCCCCCCAGCTAGGATGGATTTTGTTCATTAGAACTTTAGATCAATTTGGAAGAAAGTCTGGTTAAATAATACTCAGTCTTTTAAGTGGGCCCTTGAAATAGTTTGAAGATTTATAGTTCACTTTTGTGTCAAATTAAGCTAAAACTTTTAAGCTGATTCACAGTTTTGTGTTTGGGGAGGGCTTAGACGTAGGGGGAGGGGATGTTTTATTAACATTTGTGTTGAAGGAGGCTCTCTCCTAAATAATTGCTATAATCTGTCATGAATTTTCTTAAAAATGATTTATTAACTATAGTCAAGGTGGTTTCTGAGAAAAATGAGGTTCTTTTGAGTTGTAATATTCTGTTTTATTGCAAATGAGTTAACTAAGCTTCCAGTTAACTTTATAGGGTATGTGGTGGTTTCCCTCATTGCTTCCCAGCTGTTTCAAACATCCAATTCCTGGCTAGTGGTGTTGGGAGTACTTAATGCAACCTTCCGTTTGGTATTGAGCAGCCTCTGGAACGGTTTCTTCTTTACTTTCTTTGAGTTGATGATTTCCTTAATCACAAGCTGCTCTGGTTCTCCACCCAGGCAGTAGTCATCTCTTACGACTAGCCTTCAAAGTTTAGGTTAATGAAATTAAATCTGCCTTTGAATTTGTGTTTTACTGAGATGTTATAAGAGGTTCCATTCTGTGTTTAACCTCAACTGAGGCAACTGTGTTGTCTGTAATGACATAAGTGCATCTTGTTAATGATGAAAAGGTGTTGGAAATATGTTATTTCTGGGAATGTAGTGAGCAGATTATGCTGCTTAAATTGTTACTATATTGGCTCCCCTTAGGGATGAGTTTTATGATCATTTAACTAGATCTTGTGTGATTTTCTCACATCTTTGCTTTTTTGAAGTCCGTGCTTTTTATAGATTGAAATTAACTGAGAAGTGAATATTCTACCCTTGCAGATTCCACCCTGGTCCAGATAGGGCCATTGTCTGCTGATGCCATTGTGATTTTATGAAGAATGCTAGGCAGTCCTTTGCTGTCAGAAAGAGGATAATTTATATGTAATAATAAGGCTGATTATGCTTGGAAGCTTATGTTCTTTTGTTTTGTTTTGGCGGTTAGCCAGCTTGGGGATCCGAACCCTTGACCTTGGTGTTATCAGTACTGTGCTCTAACCAACTGAGCTAACGGGGCCAGCCCTTTATGTTCTTTGTTGCACAATTTAACTGACCTGCTCATTTTGGCTCCATGACATTTTACCTAGATGACAGTCAAATACTGTTAGGTAAATAAGTTTCCTTTTGGTTTGTAGTAGAGTAGACCTTTATAGTCTGTAATAATTTCCCTGTTGAGAATTTATTTAAGCACCAAATATAAAAAATAAAGTAAAATCTTTTTTTTTTTTTNTTCTTTCTTTCTTTCTCTCTGTCTCTCTTTATTGTTCATTTGTTTATTTATGGGTTCAGCTTCCAGTTATGGGTGAGAACATGCAGTATTTCTCTTTCTGTATCTGGGTTATTTCACTTAGGATAATTTTCTCCAAGCTCATCCATGTTCTTGCAAATGGTAGAATTTCATTCTTTTTTATGAAAAAAAAAATAATTATGAGGTATTCACAGCTCTCTCATCAGGAAATAATTGAGACTGAGAAAGGAAAGTTCTACAATCTCTTATGCGTGTGTCTCTATGAAGTACTCTACCCAGTTTCCAGGCAATTGTGTCTTTTGTAGACTCTACAGTGTGCCGTTTCAAGCCATGACATCATGCTTTTAGAAACTTCCCTACTTGTAAATTTTAGATTTCCCCAGAACTTGAGCAATGTATGTCTACATTTCAGAAAAAAGACCTACTCTAGTAAATTATTATTGTTTCTTATTTTCCAGGAGATTCCTAACCACATAGCCTCTCAGAACTGATCGAAAACAACTTTGTTCCTGGAACACCTCTTTTTAAGGTACACATAATTTGTCTTTATAATTTCAGGCCTGTTTGTAATTGGTGATACTTTTGAATTCTTCAATGACTTTTGTAGAAGATGATTTTTACTTCTGGCCATAATATTAGAGAAACAGAATAAATTTTATGCAGTTTGAATTTCTTTTTTACTCTTGATTTAATTAGAAAGTAAATGCAGGAAAAATTGGTAAGAATGTAAACCTCTCCAGCCAGCACCACTATATATATGAGGGTACTGCAAAAAGTTTGTGGAAAATAGAATTAAAGGGTAATACAAATCATTCCACAAACTTTTTGAAGTATCTTCGTACTTGATGAAAACTGACTACTGAAGTTGTCATTTAATTTAACTTGTTCAATAAGCATCTTGATCACAGAAACTTTTGTAGTTTGCTTTTTTTTTTTTTTTTTGCGGCTGGCTGGTACAGGGATGCTTGTTTTTAAAAGGCTTTTGATTTCTCAGATTGTGTATGTTAAACTTGGTTTTCAAACTTGTGCAACTAATTCAACGTTTTCTGTCATGAGATAGGGTTTTGAATCAAGTTCTGTTTACCACTGAGTTTTGTAAGAGTCTTCAGGACTTTACAGTCTTTTATCAGGGCACTGCAAAATACACTACATGCATTGACACTGCTTTGTGGTTTTTTTT